AAAAAAAAAGGGGTTCCAAGAAGTAAATGATGATAGATTTTTCATTTTAGGTAAGGTGTGACTTTTAGGAAAAGGACATAGATAAAGCAGCATTGTTAGGAATATTTTATAAGGATTGTCTCCCTTTCAGTTTGCAGTGGAATATGTAAGCAATGTATCTGGTATACTATAAGTAAGCAAACATGCCTTTCTCTATTGACATCGATTTAGTAAGTTGCCCAAGCTCATAATCAGATTACTGTGATTGTACCTGGTGCAGATAAAGAGAACCAACTGTGCCTTTTAATGTTTTGAGTTTGCAGCAACATATTACAAACTACTTCCAAATGGTTAACAGACAAGTGTTCTCAACTCTTTATCTGTGATAAGACACGATTGTGACCTAAACAAGATATTTTCCAGTGGGAAAACCTGAGGTCCCCATATCCTGTTGTTGTTGTTTTTTTTCTCCTTCAGACACCATGCAAACATGACAGAGGAATAGGCTTATTATTGTCTGGAAAACTCATCAAAAATTCAGGAAACGTTCACATCAGCCATGGAACAGTTGAAAGTAGAGGTGCAGAAGTTCATGGTTACCTCACTAATCAAATGCACCTTGTGTGTAATGTGCAGAACTGACCACCTGCTGCAGAATCAATCATAGCTCTTTAAAACCCTTAGACCTGCTTCAGAGCACAAATTGAATGGATTCTTTATAGGCACAGAAAAGTTTGTTCTTATTATGTGTATTTTAGATCTGGGTCTTGGCATCTGAAAGGCACTGCTCTTCTGGGGTTCTCACTCCATGCTCTGTTTACCAGTTATAGTTGGAATATGAAAAATGACAACACTCGTTTATGCTGAAGAAAGACAGACTTTGTTGAAGCTCTCATTCATGGTGCCTGCTGATGACCAGTCCCCTGTGTGTTCTGTCTAATATATGCACGGAGTCACATGAGGGATAAATAGCCACATTATGTCTCTCTGTTAGCTGCCTCCAAACATTCTCCTCTTGTGTGGGGGGCCTTTGAAAATTCTGACAAGCGCCTCTGTTTTTGTGAGATCACCCTCCCCTCCCACCACCCTGTTCTCACTCTTCTTTCACTGGCTGTCGATTGGTCTAATGAGCAGAACATGGGTTTGGGTTTATGGGGTTAATGGATTTAAAACTGGAATGCTGTCTCCTAGGCTGCAGCTGTGTTCTACTACAGATGTCCAGTTAAAAGGTCAGCCAGTGCCTTTGGCGTGTGTATGTGTTTCTGTGTGAGGGTACAAGTGCAACGTGTGCCACTGCCACACCAATATCTGTATTTTTGCCCATATGTTTATGTGTTGGAAGCTCCATATATTGTGAACGTGTATCGTCTGCATGACGCAGCTGTTCAGTTGCTGTTGGCGAAACACTGAAACAGTGTTGTGACGATAGTGGGGGAATTATATTCAAATACATACAAATAATACATTAAAAAAATACATTAACAGTTCATACAGCGACTTGAATACATCTTTTCTCATAATGAATATAAGCCTCATTAAAGAATGAAAGGAACATTTTAAATAGTTTGTCTGTCTTGTATTATTATTTCTTAGAGGAATAGTAGAAAAATATCGATAAAAATAGAGAAATATTTTACTAAAACTGCTTCACTGCTTCCTTAATATTTGAAAAATGTTTGTCAACCAGATCAAACTTATGTGGTGCAAACAGCATGCAGAAAACAAACAAACATAACAGGAAACAGTTTTTACTGTTTTTCAAGAGACTCCCCAAAAGCTTAAAGTCTGCGTTAACCGGAAGTTGCTGCCGACTTCATTATTGTGACATATTTCCAACTGAAACAGCATATTGAATACAGGG